AGCTTGGAGCGGGAAGCTGCAAGGAAGCACCTCAAGGTTAATTACACCCTGAAAAGCAGGAAAGAAGGAGCGGAGTTTCGTCAGACGCGCTTTCGTCAGTTGTGTCTCTTTTCCTTTAAAATTAACTTTTTTTTAGATGTAATTATTAGTTAAATCTAACGGGTTTTTTTTTGCTACAGAACATGATGTTACGCTTCGGATCAGACCGCCCCCCTACCCTCGGGTCGCGAACCCAGGCCTCCCGGTGTCACTCAACAGTGACCCAACCTGGGGAGCTAAAGTGAGATCTCCCTACCGGCCACCGGCTGTGGTCCTGCTATTACAGGGAAGGGCGGTGACGTCACCGCTCTGGTAAGCTGGCTTTCACACTCAATGGTGGCCGTGAGCGTTACAATAAGAACGGTTACAAACGAGAGAAAGCCACCGGCTCGTCGAGCAAATACGGCATTTAATCGCTAATTAACAGTCTATGAGGATCTCATCCAGCTTCTGATCAAGCTACAACTACATGGGAGGGTAGCGCCCTGTTCCGGACACCCACAACTCTTTGGCTACAGAAGCGCCGCCATTGTGGTCAAAAGAGATTTTATTTTGGGGCTTTAGCTGTGCCACAAGCTAAATCTGGCGTTGGAGCGCCACGACAGAAAGACGCGAAGGGTCTCGGTGCCAAGGGGGCGGTCACTGTCCGGTCTCCTGGGAGTCTCCACTGGGACCAGTTGGTGGGAGGTGTCGCGCTCCCAGTGACAAGCAGCGCTATACCGCGGTCGAGATCATAATGAGGATACTATCCTGAAGAGAGAAAACACACTGTAGAAGCATCTGGAATTAACCATGAAAAAACTGGCTGTCGGCGAGTGTTCGTGTCATTTCTTTAACCCGAGAGCCCGTCTCTCGGTGGAGCAGTAGGTGTGACCTACACCGTGCGCAAGGCCTGCTCTGCAATTCCTTTATAAATTACCCTGCCTTGACAATCCCAAGGGACTCCTTTCTTCTCCTTTTGGAGAAGGGCGTGTAGTTCAGTGAGACGAAAACAGCAAACGCAAACAACAGTTTTTTTTAAATCCCTGTATCACACTGACGCTTTTAATTAAGACCCCGAAACACACAGATAATCGAGATGAGTTCAGTAAGAGGTCTGACAATACCAGCTTCACAGAGCCAGTTGAGAAGCTCACCTGCCCTCTGGTCCCAGTCTAATTGAAAGCACATGGAAGGACTGGTTCGACTGGGGACTCACATTTTGTATGATTTTGGAGAAAGTTCAGGAATGCAGTCCATGGCCAGACATTTTTATAAATTGCAGGTTTTTAAAGGCATTTTTACGCGCACTACCAAGTTTTCAGAGATTGTGTTGGGCATGTTTTTATTGATTGTTAAGCTTTTAAAACCACCTGTTTGCGTTTAAATAATAATTACTCTGGCCATTTAAAATACCCTGCAGACGTGCCCTGCTGAAGCGAAAGGTCTGTCGTAGTTATTCCACGGGTTTATGATGTGCGCAGTTACATGTTTTCCAGGTTTCTCTCCTCTCACAATTTAATTTTTAATATATTTTTTTAAGATTTCAGGCATGCAGAATTATTGGAGGAAGACATACAGTATATGATTTCATTTCAGAGAAACATATAGTCACCCATTATCAGAAAGCTGCTAATTCCAACCCAGATCCCTGTCCTGAAAAAACACCAGTCCATCACAGGGCATGAGCACAGGTGCAGTTTAGAGACGCCAGTAAACCAAGCTATCATGTCTTCAGTAGGTGGGAGGAAAACATTGCATCACCCAGAAAGCTGCATAATGTGGAACATGCAGCTCCATACTGAAGACTTCCCAGAGCAGAACTGAACCCGGACTCTAAAGCTGGGAATCAGTGGTGTTTGCAGCCCTGCAGAACAAAGATCAAAGTCATTCGCTGACACAGAGAGAGCTCACCTGGCAATTGTAGGCTATCTGTTCTAATTGTATTTTCCTGTTGCACCTGTCAATAAATACTATACAGCAATAAAAAAAGGAACAAATAAAAAATATTTTCATTACAGTGCTTCTGTCACAAAAGTGCAGTTCTTTTGTCAGGGCATCTTGTAGAAAATGGAAAAATACAAGTCCAAATGAACTTAATATTAGCCTTCTAAAAAGTCTATAGCATCCACATTCATTTAATATAAAATGCAATTTTGCATTTGGTAGAATTGTTCTGTTCTGGCAGTGGTTATGGTCAAGGTTAGCATTTGTTAAAGTAAAAGGTTAAAGGCTAGAGATTAGAGGTTAGGTTTAGAGTGTCTGGTCCTTACATTTCAAGACACAGCGTTACCTGTTTACATTATGGATCTATGCTTAAGATGTAATGGCTTGGCGCTGTGTCAGCCCTTCCAGGGATAGAGGCATAGGCAGATCATTTATTAAACACTCCCCTGATCGGGGCAAGCAAGACATGAAGTAATAACCTTTCCTGCACTGACTGCAGTCTAGGAGGAAACAGGCCAGGATCTGTGAGGTCTTTAAGTGAGCCCTGAACAGCAAGACTGTCACCTTCTGATGAGATTTTAACAGTCAGGAATGTGAGAAAGGAATGGATTGTAGCAAATGAGGTGAAACGGGAGTCAATGTTTGGAGAATAAATATTATGACTGATGGGAGATTAATACACTTGAACTCTTTATACTAAGTACTGTGCTACATTCAGGCATTTCATTG